GCGTGGGCCTAAAACGGAGATGGAAGATGTCGTCGTGGTGGCGATAGCAGCGGGCATCGTTGTGACCGGAACGATCGCACATAGTGCTACGACGGGGGTCGGTCTAAAGCTGGTACTGACAAGTCATCGCACCTGAGCCGGCACTTGACGCCGAGCTGCGCGAGCTGCCACCGCGGCTGACGGCACCAAAGCCGCCAGGCCGCCACGGCGGCGGGGGTTCCCACGGCTGCAGATGCTGCAACTACAGCTACTGCTAGTGCTGCTGCAGCCCCTGCTGCTACTCTGGGGCATCAGCCACGGCCCCTCGTCTGTACCGGTACTCGCACCACCTACACCACCTCTGCCACCCTTCCCTCTGCCACGCCCCCCCCTGAGGCAGTGGCCCTTACCCTGACGAGGATGCGCTGAGGCCGCCGCAGCGGTCTCAGTTATAGGGGCTGTCTCAGCGACATCGACAGAAATGCAAAGTAATTGCACTGGGAGGGAGCACAGCCCTGGAAGATAGGGACCGGCGCAGTACCGCTATACTAAGCAATAGTGCACTGGCGGGTCTCTATCGCGGACAGGGCGGTGACAAAGACAGTAAGGGTGAGGTCAGCGGGGTGGAGAGAAAGGAAGTGGTCACGAGCAGTGGCGAGGAGGTTGGAAAGGCGCGTAGCAAGGAAGTATAGGGTAGCGCTGAGGGGGGAAGGCAGTACAGTGAGCTGGGCCTCTGTGCTAGCAGCGCGGTAGCTAGTCTCGAGTGCACACAGGTGAGTGGTAAGATCAGCGATAGTGGGGAAGGACGCAAGATCAGGGAAGAGCAGGGGAAGAAGGAGATGGCCAACAGAGGCGGAGGAGGGGGGGAATAGCACGCAATGACGGCCTTTAGGTACTCCTTGGCAGTCTTTACAAGTTGAAAGCGGGGACGCTTGGACAGGGGAGGGCGTGACTGATGGCAAGCTGCGTAACTATGTTGCGTGACTCCCAGACAGAGCGGGGGAGCTGAGCAACGACGAAGGCCTCACGCTCAGCAGGCGTGGGGGCGTCAGGGAGGACAGCAGGTGGGTCGGGTCATGGGAGCTTACCGTCGACGTGGACGGCGTAACACTAGCCGTCCTGACGCTGACCCTTCAGCTGGCGGAAGAGGTTGGCGAGCCACACCTCGAAGTCGACCGTCCGACCCTCCGCATCCAGGTGGAGCAGAGCATTCACCATCACCCACGACTACAGCAGCACGGCGACACAGCGGCACGGCAGCGGCGAACGGCGAGCTAGGGCCCAACGGGCTAGGGCTCGCACGGCGCGCGAAAGGCCAGCGGCGAGCTAGGGCCAGTGGACGAGCTAGGTGCCAGCGGGCAAGGGGTCGCGCGGCGCGCGAAGGGCCTGCGGCAAGCTAAGGGCCAGCGGGTGAGCTAGGGGCCAGGGCGGAAGCACGGGGCCATGGCTAGCAGGGGCCGTCGCGGCGAGACAGGGCCGCATGGTGAGCTGAGGCCGTCGTTGCAGGCTAGGGCAGCGTGACAAGACTAGGGCAGAGCAGCAGGATGGAGCCAGTGCGGCGTGATACCATCTCATAGTAGCAAAGTGGACTAAGCAAGGGCATACAGGGTGTTCTATGAGTTGTGGGTTGTACTCCTAGGAGCACGTACCTGTCTAGCCTATAACTAGACATACATTACAAATGTATAAGTTGACACCTCTTTCGTGCTGCTATTTCCCCTCAGCCCCTTTCTATTTCCTTCTTGCTCGCTTCCCACCGTACTTTACATTTGCTGCGGAAATCACGGGAAAAAAATACGAAGAGGGTCTAAAGCCGGCTACACTAGAAAGGGGAGTGTCTTGTTAGTCGATTACCATAATAAAATACCTACCTGCCAAAAACACCCTATGCATGCCCCCGGATTGGTTTTGAACCACCCTGATTGATGAGGGTCGACTTGAAAAAGACAATACTTTTTGACAGGGTCGGTACCGGTTTCAACTCTGATGCATCAGGGTCGTGTGTGCTTTGGACACTGATGACACTGATTTCCCCAGAGTGAACGTGTTTTTGAAGTCTCCTGTGCAGTAATAAACAAGGCCGAGAGCATGACATTGCCTCTAAAAGCATGTTTTTACAGTTTCGAAACTCGTCAAGTTCCAGAACTTGGGTTTCATAAGAGCGTATTCCTACTTTTGAGTGTTCAGTACCAGGAAACCAGCCTCGCAAAGTACCGAATCGAACCGCACAGGAATTCGCGTTTCGACATTCGGACCTCAGTGCTTCGCGTTTCAGACTCGAAATTGGGTTTGCTGGTACGGAACATGGTTCCCTACGGATACGCTCTAAGTTTCGCTTCGCTGCTCATCGCGACAAGGCTTCACGAATTCCTCTTCCCAAGCATAAATTTCGCCAATTCCGGAAGCAGTTTCCGGAATTTCGAGAATGGGAACTGTACGACATACTCCCTAAGAACGAGGGGCAGGCCGCAGGTGACATCGTCGGCGTGATTGACGGGGGGAGGGGGGGGAGGATTTTGGGTAGGAATGTCAGCTCTGATTCGTACGCTGACTGGTTGCGGAGGACTCGGTCTTGTTCTTCTGGGTTCTGGTCTTGATTGGCTCTGGTCACTAGGTTGCGGGGGGTAGGGGGGGTACTGTAATTATGGCTTTGGGGGACGAGGTTGCGAGTTGCTCTAGCAGGAATATCTCTGGCTGTGGAGGACTTGGCCAAAATTCGCTGGGTTGCGAGGGGTGTGGGGGGGATGTCTATGGCTTTTGGGGACTCAGCCAAAATTGGCTGGTTGCGGCATGGTAGGGGGAGGGGGGAAGGGGGGGGGGAGGGAGAGGGGGGTCACCCTGCCGTCGGTAGGGAAATTTCTGCTAATTTCGGAAGATCTTGTTTCAGGGTGCATACGCGATATGACACTGACGCATCTGTGTCAACCCACAAAAAAACTATGAAGAAACAGTGTCCTTCCATAAAACGACCCTGAAAAATCAGGGCTGACCCCCTACCCTAGGCTGAAAATTCTGGGTTGGTACATCAAAACACCCTTAAAATCAGCAAAATCATGAGAAAATTCATGAAATCCCTATGGGTGCTCAATAAAATCGGTCTTATATCCAGGCGTTTACGGGTAACTCATAATGACTCCAAGGATCCTTTAACAGAGAGACGAGCCACTGTTGACAATCTAGACTCACACGATAGTTCATTACTTGTTGGAAATACCTCGAAGACTTCAGCGTTTCTGAAGTATAACACCACAATCGAGGAAAGTCGTATCGGGTACGCGAGTCAACGGAGGTTATACGAAGAGGTTGGACGACAGAATACGAAAGGACGAAGGGACTCGAAGGGTCGCAACCGGAGGTTGCGATTGACCGTTGCGACTGCAAGGGTGGTAACCGAACTGACAATCGAGTCGCTGTGCGACTCGATAACTGTTCCTTCAACTGTATTCTACAACTGCTTCATTTCTTATTTTCTATATATTGCTGTATGCTTGTTTCTTTTAATCAATCACTTGCTCTCACATACTAGTGCAAGGGTTCAACTACTCAACACTTCCGCTGCACTACTCAAGCGTTTTGTACAAGTGGGACTTAGTCTCTGAAAAGGTCCTTAGGCCTTTTCTCAGCCCAACAATACTCATAACAAAATGTCGAGGCTAGGCACACTAGAAGACTAGCATCAGAGTCTGCCCTATTTTCCCAGGTGCTCCTTGTTGAGTGATTTGCGACTTCTCTTCAGTGAGTATGTTATGATAGGCTCTCTGTCCACTATACCAATCGGACGTGCTTGCCCAACAAGGGCACCGCACTGCACGATGGGAAGCCCCCCTCCTTGACCTGCATGAGCCAACACTCCCAAAGCCCCCAGCGCCGTCTCACTGTGCACTCCGGCCGCCACTGCGCCTGTCCTCCTCGCGTCCCCTGCCTTGCCCATCACGTGCTCACCTCTACCACCCGCATCTGCCTCCACAACTTGCAGGGCTCCCACTACAGGAGAGGCTGCGTCATGCCTCGCAGGGCCCGCACTGCCGTGCACCCCTGCCCTGCTCTGCCCGGCATACACTCCAGCTGCCATCTGCTGCCGGTGCCATTCCTCCCACTCGTCCACCTCCCCTCTCCGCTTGCCTCCCCTCCCCTCCCCCACCTCACTCCCTCCCCTGCCCACCCCTCCCTTCACCCACCCCTCCTCCACACCCACTCCCTCCACTGCCCCCCCTTCCTCACCTTCCCAACCTCCACTATCGTCCTCCCCACCTGACCTCTCCCGCACCTCCAGGCCGCGCGCCGCAATGATGGCGGTGCGGCGCAGGATGTCCTCCATGGCCAGCCCGCGCGGCTTCCTGCGGCTCCTCTCGCGCTTCCCCTGCGCCGTCCACCGCACCGCACCCTCCTCGCCCTCCCCCCCCTCCACCGCCACCCCGCCCACACTGCCCCTCCGCTCCAGTGCTCCATCCGGCACCCCCTCTGCCAGGTCCGACTGGGACGGCATGTGAGGGTCGCAGCTGTGCGCTGCTGCATGTGGGGAGACATGTGGGTGGTGGTTATGGTGGTGGTGGTGGTGGTGGTGGTGGTGGCGGTGGTGGGGGTGGTGAGAAGGCGCAGAGGGGTGTGCATGGTGGGAGGGGTGCAGCTGCTGATTGTGCCGAGGGTCATCATGGCAAGGGTGGATCTTGACCTCGTCACGCCCATCTTTCCCACCCCCCTCCTCGTCCCACCCACTCTGCTCATGCCTATGGCGCTCCCGGTGGCTCTCAGCATTGCGGTGTGGATGCTGCTGCAGCTGCTGCTGCCCCAGTCCATGGCCTGGGCGGCGCGCATACCCATCCGCACCACGGCCACCCTCATCCCTCACCATCCCCTGCTCCCTCTCATCATCCCTCTCCCTGTGCGTCGCAGCACCCGGCTCTTCCCCTCCCCCACTGCCGCTCAGGCTACCACCAGTGGGAAGCAGCTGAGCAGCAGGCGGGCAGACCGAGGGGGCAGAGTGGGCAGGGGTTGGGCCAGGGGGGAGGGAGGGGCGAGGGCCGGCGAGAGCCCAGGGCTCGAGGTCATCGTCCGACCCCGCCTCCATGTCCCATGCGCTGCGCTCCTGCACCCCCTGCACCCCCTGCGCCCCCGCTGCCACACCTGCCGCCCCACTTGCCGCTCCACCTGCTTCTGGTTTCACTGCACTGCCATGCACCCGCCCCTCCTCACTCACCGCCTTCCTGCCTATACCACCGTCGGTTTTGTCCCTATACTTGGCTCGTTCGCCTGCCTGCTCCTGCCGCTCCCCCCTGCCACCCATATCTTCCCCACCAGCTCCACTCCCCTCTCCCCCTCTGCTCTCCCCTCCCCACTCCCCTCGCTCCTCCTTGGCCATCTGCCCCTCCCTCTCACCATGCCCTTCCGCCGTTCTGCCTGCTGCCATCCCCGCTGCCTGAGGGGTGGGTGAAGGTGCGCCAGGCAGCCCACCGTGCACTTGGGATGGCGCCACAGCAGCACGATTGCTCGTTGGTGCAGGGGGCGCTGAGGTGAATGGGGATCGGCCAGCAAGGCTGGAAATGGGCTGCTGCTGCTGCTGCTGCTGCTGCTTCTGCTGCTGCTGTGGCACAGGTGAAGGCTGTGGTGGCGCAGGCCCCCTCTGTCCCACACCCCTCGCCCCACCTGCATCAACACTCACCTGCTCGCCCCCTTGACTGGTGGGCACTGCTGCATGCAACGGGGCCTCTGCCACACTCGGAGCAGCCTTTCCTGCTACGCCAGCACAGGAGGGTGGCGGGGGCAAGAGGGAAGCAGGCAGCGGCTTGGAGAAGATGAAGACGGCGAAGAGACCTGCAGAGGGGCGGAGGGCAGGAGAGCGGTGGGAGGCATGAGAGCAGTGGGAGGCATGAGAGCGGTGGGAGGCATGAGAGCGGTGGGAGGCATGAGAGCGGTGGGAGGCATGAGAGCAGTGGGAGGCAGGAGAGCGGTGGGAGGCATGAGAGCGGTGGGAGGCATGAGAGCGGTGGGAGGCATGAGAGTGGTGGGAGGCATGAGAGCGGTGGGAGGCATGAGAGCGGTGGGAGGCATGAGAGCGGTGGGAGGCATGAGAGCGGTGGGAGGCAGGAGAGCGGTGGGAGGCATGAGAGCGGTGGGAGGCATGAGAGCCGTGGGAGGCATGAGAGCGGTGGGAGGCATGAGAGCGGTGGGAGGCATGAGAGCGGTGGGATGCATGAGAGCGGTGGGAGGCAGGAGAGCGGTGGGAGGCAGGAGAGCGGTGGGAGGCATGAGAGTGGTGGGAGGCATGAGAGCCGTGGGAGGCATGAGAGCGGTGGGAGGCAGGAGAGCGGTGGGAGGCATGTGAGCGGTGGGAGGCATGAGAGCGGTGGGAGGCAGGCATGAGAGCGGTGGGAGGCAGGCATGAGAGCGGTGGGAGGCATGAGAGCGGTGGGAGGCATGAGAGCGGTGGGAGGCATGAGAGCGGTGGGAGGCATGAGAGCGGTGGGAGGCATGAGAGCGGTGGGAGGCAGGAGAGCGGTGGGAGGCATGAGAGCGGTTGGAGGCATGAGAGCGATGGGAGGCATGAGAGCGGTGGGGGGCATGAGAGCGGTGGGAGGCATGAGAGCGGTGGGAGGCATGAGAGCGGTGGGAGGCATGAGAGCGGTGGGAGGCATGAGAGCAGTGGGAGGCAGGAGAGCGGTGGGAGGCAGGAGAGCGGTGGGAGGCATGAGAGCGGTGGGAGGCATGAGAGCGGTGGGAGGCGTGAGAGCGGTGGGAGGCATGAGAGCGGTGGGAGGCATGAGAGCGGTGGGAGGCATGAGAGCGGTGGGAGGCATGAGAGCGGTGGGAGGCATGAGAGCGGTGGGAGGCATGAGAGCGGTGGGAGGCAGGAGAGCGGTGGGAGGCATGAGAGCGGTTGGAGGCATGAGAGCGATGGGAGGCATGAGAGCGGTGGGGGGCATGAGAGCGGTGGGAGGCATGAGAGCGGTGGGAGGCATGAGAGCGGTGGGAGGCATGAGAGCGGTGGGAGGCATGAGAGCAGTGGGAGGCAGGAGAGCGGTGGGAGGCAGGAGAGCGGTGGGAGGCATGAGAGCGGTGGGAGGCATGAGAGCGGTGGGATGCATGAGAGCGGTGGGAGGCATGAGAGCGGTGGGAGGGATGAGAGCAGTGGGAGGCAGGAGAGCGGTGGGAGGCAGGAGAGCGGTGGGAGGCATGAGAGCGGTGGGAGGCATGAGAGCGGTGGGAGGCATGAGAGCGGTGGGAGGCATGAGAGCGGTGGGAGGCATGAGAGCGGTGGGAGGCATGAGAGCCGTGGGAGGCATGAGAGCGGTGGGAGGCATGAGAGCGGTGGGAGGCATGAGAGCGGTGGGATGCATGAGAGCGGTGGGAGGCATGAGAGCGGTGGGAGGCATGAGAGCGAGCACGTGTTGAGCCAAATGTGATCGACATCACAGGTGAGGCACCTGGGAGAGGCGAGCGGGGGAGAGGCAAGCGGGGGAGAGGAGAACGGGGGAGAGGAGAACAGGGGAGAGGAGAACAGGGGAGAGGAGAACGGGGGAGAGGAGAACGGGGGAGAGGAGAGCAGGGGAGAGGAGAGCAGGGAGAGGAGAGCAGGGAGAGGAGAGCAGGGAGAGGAGAGCGTGGACGAATGAGACATGGGTGCGTGGCATGTGCAACGAAGGAGCATGGCACAGGGCAGCAGCACCACGTACCATGACATGAGCAACATGCATCATGACATGAGCAACATGCATCATGACATGAGCAACATGCGTCATGCCATCGGCTGCACTGACTCATGAGGTCGCGCGCCGAGTTGGAGAGGTGCAGCTGGCTCACGTCACCCGCCACGCAGCAGGGGGCACCTGCACCCGCTGCTGCTGCTGGTGGCGCAGCGGCGTCGCAGCGAGGGTCGGGGTGGAGGTGCAGGGCGGAGGGACAGATGTCGGCCAGCAGACGCAGCGTCTGAGGGCTTCTGAATGGTGGGGCAGGGCAGGGAGGAGGAGGGAACATGAATGTGGTGCACTGCAGTGTGGTGCACTGCAGTTTGGTCCAGCTACAGTGTTAGAACGTAACCTGTTACAGTGTTAGAACGTAACCTGCTACAGTATTAGAACGTAACCTGCTACAGTGTTTTGGTGCACTGCACTGTGGTGCACTGCAGTTTAGTGCACTGAAAACGGGAGTAGAAAACTGCAAGAGACATGGCATTGAAGCATACCTGGTGTCATTGCTTGCAGCATACCTGATGTCATTGCTTGCAGTGCACCTGGTGTCATTGCTTGCAGCGCACCTGGTGACATTGCTTGCAGCATGCCTGTTGTCATTGCTTGCAGCATACCTGGTGTCATTGCTTGCAGTGCAATTGGTGTCAATGCTTGCAGCGCACCTGGTGTCATTGCTTGCAGCACACCTGGTGTCATTGTAAAGCGTCTCCAGGTTGATGATGTCGATAAGTCGCAGCCCTGCTGCCTCTGCCAGCCTGCAGGAACAGCATGCACACCATGCACACCATGCACATCATGCACACCATGCACACCATGCACAGCATGCACAGCATGCACACCATGCACAGCACGCGCACCATGCGCACCATGCTAGCCATGCACAGCATGCACCAACAAAATTACGCACACTGGCACCTAACAATGAAAGAACGCGCCTGAAGAAAGCAAGTCGTGAAGAACAAGGGTAAAGATGCTGACCAAGCTGACGAAACTAGCTTAGAAGAGAAAAGATTGAATTGAGTAGGGAGTCAAGAGGCTCTTTTGTACAAAACAAGGAGCAAGGAAGAGTTGGAAGGGAAGCTCTCCTATTGGCCATAAAGTGGACCAATGGGAGAGGTTGCTTGTAGGGCAAGCAACCACAAAGTGTGGTGCTCTCTGATTGGCCACAATGTGGACCAATGAGAGAGATTGCTTGGAAGGCAAGCAACCACAAATTGTGGTGCTTGGTGATTGGTTGGTTCCTAGGACCAAGGACCATTTGGTTGGAATAGTGCCAACCAAATGTCTAGGACAAAATCCAATCTTGACCAACCCAAATGTGGGACTGGTCAACCCAACCAACAACCCCCCAATAATAATAATGACTACACCTCCCAATCTAGGCATGCATGTTGTATAGATATATATTTTACAACACAACCCCCCAACATGCATAAGACTAGAAGGCTTGAATCAGGAGGCGGACGAGGGAACGGGGGGAGCGAGTCCAAGAAGGCGAAGGAGGGATGAGTGGGTGGCGTGGGGGAGGGCTTTGGTGAAGATGTCGGCAAGATTGGCAGCAAAGTCAATCTTGCGCAGCTGGAGGTGGCCACCCTGCACAAGCTCGCGAATGAAGTAGTGGCGAAGCTCAATGTGCTTGGAGCGCCCGTGGAACACAGCATCTTTCGTGAGGTCGATGGTGCTGGCGTTGTCACACCGTAGGGGTGGGAGGAGGAGGAGGGGGAGGTGAGGGGAGTGAGGTGGTGCCCAACAGGAAGAGGGGTGACCTGAGGGGTGCCTCGAGCCATGTCGAACCGCTCCAGGACCTGCTGCAGGTAGTGGCCCTGGGAGAGGGAGATGGTGCGAGCAGCACGGTCGCGTGTAATCTCCATGCCGAGATAGTGCTGCAGCTCTCCTAGATCCTTACACTTGAGCCGGCTGCCAAGCTCACGCTTGACGCGCTCGAGCTCGGCGGAGTCGGCAGTGATGAGGATCATATCGTCGACATAGACGAGGATGTAGAAGGGGGGGGGGGAGGTGTGGAGGAAGAGGCTGGGGTCAGCACGGGAGGTGCTGAAGCCAAGCTCGGCGAGGGTGGCAGCAAGCTTGGCATGCCACTCCCTTGGTGCCAGCTTGAGCCCATACACCGGCCGACGCAGCTGCCAGACAGAGTCGGAAGGAAAGGGGAGGTGGAAGCCTGCAGGATGTTCCATGTAAATGAGCTCGCGCAAGACCCCCTGGAGGAATCCGTTGGAGACGTCCATGGAGTGAATCTCCATGTTGAGGCGAGCGGCGAGGTCGAGGACTGCGCGAATGGTAGCGGGCTTGGCGGTGGGAGAGAAGGTGTCAAAGAAGTCGACAGCGTAGCGCTGGGTGAAGCCCTTTGCGACGTAGCGGGCCTTGTAGACCGGCGGCTCGCAAGGAAGCTGCTTCACCCGAAACACCCACTTCCCTTTGACCACGTTCGTGGTAGAGGGAGGGCGGGGCACATCCACAAAGGAGGAGTTGGCAATAAACGCCTCCAACTCCTTGAGGATGGCCGCGAGCCAGAGGTGAGCGTCAGGGCACACCATGGCCTCCTCGTACGTGGCGGGGACGAAGATGGTGGGGGCGGAGGAGAAGGCGAAGACTGGTGTGCCGCTGAGGGTCAGGAGAGATGGGTAGGAGGGCTGGATCATGCAGGTGGAGGTTGAGGAACTCCTCATGGGAGTCCTCGAGGAGGGAGGAGTGGAAAATGAATGGGAGGACTGCAGCTCCTGCTGCGGCTGCTGCTGAGGATGCATCTGCTGCTGCTGCTGCTGCTGCTGCTGCTGAGGCGGCTGCTACTGCTGCATTTGCTGCCGTCGCTGCTGCTGCTGCGGGTGAAGGGGAGGAAGGAGCGACGGCTGCTGCTGCTGGTGCTGCTGCGGTGGGTGGAACTGCTGCTGCAGGTGTTGCTGCTGCTGTTGGGACTGCTGTACTGGAGCTCGACGGCAGGGTTGGGCTAGTGTTTTGTTGAAAGACTGTCTGAAAAAGGAGGTCCATGAGAGGTGAGAGAGGAGGCAAGGTAGAGGAAGAGAGGATAACACGAGGCGGGGCACCTATGACTGCGTCACGCGACCTAGTGTGGGGATACCGGGTGAGGATGGAGCGGGTGGGACGCAGGGGGGGAGGGGGTCGCGGGGGAGAGGGGGGAGGAGGAGAGGGGGGAGGAGGGGAGGGGGGAGGATGGGAGGGAGCGGAGGGGGAGGAGTGGGACGGGGAGGCGGGGGGAAAAAGAGGGTCAGGGTCAAATATGCCACCAGAGGAGGGGGGAGTGCTAGGGACCGAGGCAGCGGGGAATGGAGGAGGTGGAGCGGGGGGAGGATGGGAGGGGGAGGGAGAAGTGGGGGTGGGATAGTGTCGGACCAGTTGAGGGGCCTGGGAGAAGGGGCGAGAGGGTCAGTGGGGGGAGGAGTGGAATAGTAGGGTGTGGACTCATCAAAGACTACATCCCGACTGCGGAGGAAATGACCTGAGGGGGGGTGAAGGAAGAGGTAGTCTGGGGAGGAGGGGTTATGACCAAGGAAGATGCAGGGGAGGGTACGGGAGGCGAGCTTTCCCATGGTACGGAGGCGGTCCGCAGGGTGAATGAGGACATACGCCCTGGAGCCCCACACACGGAGGGAGGAGACGTCAGGCTTGGCCGACGTCCAGAGCTCGGTGGGAGTGGTGGAGGGAAGGATAGGGTGGGGGTACAGGTTAGTAAGGAGGGTGGCGTGAAGGAGGGCATAGCCCCACTGAGAAAGGGGGCAAGAGGCATGGACGAGGAGACACCGAGCAATCTTGGTGATCTCCCGAACACGGCTCTCGGCCACACCATTCTGCTGGGGGGAGTGGGGGAGGGTGTGAGTCTGGCGAATGCCATGAAGCTCACAGTAGGAGGCTACCTGACGATTAAGGAATTCGCCACCGCCATCAGAGTGAAGGCGGCGCACAGGGCGGCCAAAGTGGGTGCTCGCTTGCTTGAGCCAGGCGATGATCGCAGCCGGAGCGTCACCCTTCGAGCGAAGAAGGGAGACGGACGAATATCGGCTGTGATCATCTACCAGAACAAGCATGTAGCGATGGCCCTGGCGGGAAGGGGAGGGGTTGGGGCCCCAGAGGTCCATGTGAACAAGATCAAGCGGCTGAGCAGCAGCGGAGGGGGAACTCTGATGCGGCTGCTGCTTGAGCTTGCCCTGGACACAGACGGAGCAGGGAGGGGCAAGGGAGGGAGGGAGGGGAGGGAGGGTGAGGGGAAGACCTCGAAGGAGACCTGAGGAGACGGTCGAGCGGAGGGTGGCAAAGTTGGGGTGACCAAGCCTGTGGTGGAGGAGGACGCTGGGATGGGAGAGGGATCGACAGGAGCAGGTTGGGTCCGGGGGGAGGGGGGAATGGTTGGGTTAGAAGGAGGGAGAGGAGGGGAGGGATGTGAGGTGGGGGGAGGGAGCGGGAGGCTAGCCTCGACACGCCAGGACATTCTACAAGATAGAATCACCCTGCGTATAGCCACGCGAGGCTATTGGCTTTAAGGGATTACGGCAGGATTACGCCAGATAGCGGACCAGTACATCCCAAGCCTGGTCGGTGATATAATTATAATAGCAGGATAAATCAAAGGTTAATGGAAATGGAGAATAGGAAACCAAATGAGATGAGATAAAGAGAAATGAACGAGGAAGGAAATAAGAAAAGGGACAAGTGGTGTAACGGGGTCGTACTCTCACACTTCCCCCCCTCAAAGCTGGGTGGTAGAAGTAACACCCTGCTTGACAAGGTAGTCATGCAGAGGACGACAGGCGTTACCCATGTCGGACTCAGGTATCCAGCTGTCCTCAGAAGGATCATAACCCTTCCAACGGATGAGAAGCTCCACGGTGCCATTCCGACGACGGCGGTGTGCGAGCACGGACTCGACCTCGTACTCGGGTTCATTCTGGACGAGGACGGGCGGTGGCGGCGGCGGTTGGCGTCCCACGAAAATCGTGTTCGGGTCCCGATAGGGCTTCAGAAGTTGGACATGGAGGCGTTGTGAATCTTCCAGGTAGCGGGCAGGCGTAAGCGGAAGGTAACAGGAGTGACCTGTGCTTCAACGAGAAAAGGCCCGCAGAAGCGAGGTCGAAGTTTAGATGGGAGGTGGCTGATGTCCAGGTTGCGGGTGTCAAGAAGCAACTGGTCTCCCACTGTGATGGTGTGGTCGTTGCGATGGCGATCGACCTGACGCTTTTGTTGCTGCTGAATGTCGAGGAGGCGCTTGTGGGTCCGATCCCAAAGCTGATGCATGGTTGTGATGAAATCATGTGCTGGTTGGACTGTAGCTGATGCTGTCGGTTTCTGTGGTGTGAGTGGGTGGCGTCCGTAGCAGAGGAAGAACGGCGTCTGTCCAGTAGAGGCATGTGTAGCATTGTTGTAAGCAAACTCTAGTACGGGCAGGTGCAAGTCCCATTTGGAGATCTCGTCCTTGCAGGCTGCTCGGAGTAGTTGCTCAACAATTTGGTTGAGGCGCTCGGTCTGTCCATCTGTCTGCGGATGGTAAGCAGATGACATGGCGAGTTGGGTCCCGAGGAGAGACATAAGTTCCTTCCAGAACTTGCTGGTGAACTTGGGGTCTCGGTCGGAAATGAGTGTGGTTGGGATGCCATGCTGTGAGATGATGTGACGAACGAAGAGCTGTGCTGTCTTTTCGGTGCGTGCCGTCGTGTGTGTCGGGATGAAGTGTCCCATTTTGGAGAACTTGTCAATGACGACAAGGATTGAGTCATGACTGCTGGTGGTAGGTGGTAACCCGGTGATGAAGTCGAGGCTAACCACTTGCCATGGCTGTTCTGGGACAGGAAGAGGCTGCAGTAGTCCCGCCTTTTTCTGCTTGCTGCTCTTCATCCGCTGACATGTATCACACGATGTGACGAATTTTTGGACGTCGTCTGCCATATGGGGCCAGTAGTAGTGTTTGGCGATACCGGTGAGCGTCTTGTTGCTACCGAAGTGTCCGGCGTACAGGACGTCGTGGTATTCTTCGAGTAGTAACTGGCGCAAAGGAGGGTAATTGGGTACCCAGATTTTCGTTGATCCTTTCCGGTACGCGATGTCACTGTCCCACTGTAGCAGATGTCGCTTTTCTGCCAAGGGAATTTCGGGGTCGATGGCGTACCCGTGTGTGAAGAGTCCCTTGAGTAGTGGATTCATCCCTTCAATCTGAATAGCGGCAACGTGTGCAGGTCGGCTGAGAGCGTCTGCTTTATTTTTGTGGCCGGGCTTGTACACGATGTCGTAGTGGAAGTGTGTCTCGAGGAAGTCGATCCACCGGACCTGCCGCCTGGAAAGATTGGGTTGTGTCTTCAAATATTTCAGGCTACAGTGGTCGGTGTAGACGGTTGTTCTTCGTCCTTCAAGATAACATCTCTATGCTTTGAAGGCGATGACGATGGCAAGGGCCTCTTTGTCGTGTATCGGGTAGTTTAGTTCTGCTCCATGTAGTTTCTTGCTGAGGTATGCGATCGGTTGCAGTCCATTCCCCTGGTCTTGCATTAAGACTGCCCCCACTGCCTGGTCGCTGGCGTCAGCTTCGATTACGTAGTCGCGTTCGGGATCTGGCAAGATGAGTACCGGTGCGGACGTGAGTGCTTGTTTCAGCTGCTCCACGGCTTCCTGGTGCTTTGGTTCCCATTTATAGGGCGTGTTCTTCTTCAGCACATTCGTGAGTGGTGCTGCGATTTTCGCATACTGTGGCACGAACCTATTGTAATAATTCGCGAGGCCTAGGAACTGCTGCAACTCCTTCACGTTCTCGGGCGTCTTCCACGGGCGTACGGCCTCGATTTTCTTGGGGTCGACGTGAACTCCTCGAGCGCTCACCATGTGTCCTAGGAACTGGACCTTTTCAAGGGCGAATTCGGTCTTGGACAGTTTGACGTAGAATCGTTCTCGTCGAAGAATTTCGAAGACACGTCGCAGGTGTTCGACGTGCTGCTTCATGCCGCGCGAGTAGATGCGTATGTCGTCCAAGTACACCACCATGCATTCGTCCAGAAGTGGTCGTAGAATGTGGTTCATTTCGGCTTGGAACGTTGCCGGGGCGTTGGTGAGTCCGAACGGCATTACCAAATACTCGTACGATCTGTACCGAGTTCGGAAAGCAGTTTTGTGGATAGAGTTGTCCGCCATGCGTATCTGCCAGTATCCGGACCGCAGATCCAGTTTGGAAAATACCGTAGCTCCCCGAAGCTGGTCAAGCAGGTCATCGATTCGCGGTATCGCATATTTATTTTTGATGGTCTGCTTGTTAAGAGCTCGGTAGTCGATGCACATGTGCAGGCTTCCGTCCGGTTTCGGTGTGAAGAGTACTGGGGCACCGTATGGCGAAGTGGATGGCCGGATGAGTCTTTTGGCTAGGAGATACTCGATCTGTTTTTTCATGTCAGTCAGCTCTGTAGGGCTGAGCCGGTATGGTGCTCGGAAGGTCGGCTTCGAACCCGGTTCCTCCACGATCTCGTGTTGATGCGTTCGGTATGGCGGTAGCTCGTTCGGAAGATCGTCAGGAAGAATGTCTTGGAACTCTTTCAGTAATTCCTTGATTTTTTCTGGAGGTTCCGAGGCTTTCTCTCCGTCATTCTCCACCTCTGTTGCTATCGCCAAGAACCCGGTGTCGGTCCGCTTCACGTCCTTCTCGAATCGTGCGAGTGTCTCCACTGGGATATCTCCAGTATCGTCCCAGTTGGGTAGCTGTACTCTCCGTCCATTGTTGTAGATGCTTGCGGTGCGGTTCACCTAGTTGATCTCGGGGTTGAATCTTTTCAGGAAGACTCACCGAAGATCAGGTCAAGCCCTTTGATGTTGGTGATGGGGAGTGCAGGTCTCCAGCGCAGTGGTCCGATTTGTAGGTGTAGCACTGCTTCGCCGTATACTGGTAACTTGCTGCTGTCCACCATCGTTGCAGAGAATCCTGAAGGCTTGTACTCTCCCCGAAGTCGGTCGATTACTGCCTTGTTGCAGACGGTGTGTGATGCTCCGCTGTCCACGAGTGCTTGGAGGCGTCGTCCTTTGCAGATGACCTCGAGCACGAGGGGCAGTCGTTGCTCGGAGTACGCAAAGATAGTTTCATTGATTGGGTCATAGGGTACATCCCAATACTCCGTACACACCTTTGTGTTGCTATTTACTCCTGAGCTGGCAGCTGGCCGAGGCTGCTTGGAGAACGGCTCCTCTCCCGGGCCCAGAGTTTCCTTGACGACTGTGCGCGTCACTGATGCTGAAGAATTGGATGCATCCGTAAGAGAAGGAATTCGGGGTTTGTGCAGCTTCTTGTAGACCCCCAGCTTCCTCTTGAGTTGCTTCAGCTCCATCGACGTCTTCCCTGGGGAACGGGTAGTCGTTGTGGGCTGGTGTCAGGAGAGGACGTTGACTCCGTGGAAAGGTCGGCTTCTTTCCACACTCCTTAATTTTTTCCCCAAGTTGTCCGGTACCGGTATAATCTCCACAGCTGTCTGCTTCTTTTGGAGTCCCTCCCGAAATTTCTCCAAGGCTCTAGCCCTTCGAAATTCATAAGTTTTCATTAAAGCATCTTTATAAGATAACTTAAACGAATTCTTATAATTTCTTGGGACTTCAAGGAGTTTCCCTGTCTCGGCAGAGTCTTTTTTCGCGGAGTCGTAATTTTCCTCGGCGATTTTCCATGGCGACTCGTGGGGTGGAGACTTTCCCCCATCATTTCCTCCTTCTCGCGTCGAATCAGCTTCGTCGAAGTTGATTTTCTCAGAATCCCGCGGCCGTTTTCGGATCTTTTTATTTTCGCCAGCTAGATCCGCAATCACTGGCGACTCCCGTTTTTTGACTTCTGATTGGCTGAAGGAATTCCGCCACTGTTGCGTGCCCAATACTCTGTGCGTGCGGCTTTCATTTTGCTGCAGTCGAAGATTCGATGACCCGGCACCCCGCAAAAGTCACACGTGTAGTTGGTGTTTTTCGGACGTGGCCGCCCCTCGAATCTGTCGACTTCCATCGGGTCGGCGAACGTGGGGTGAGCCGAGCGGTCGCCCTGTCGCGTACTGCCGACGTGCGTCCGTCGTGTTCCAGCGTTGACCATGTCGAAGCGCTCCGCTGCCGAAACGACGTCACTGTAGCTCGCGTAGTTTGACGCTGCGACTTGTCGTTTGACTTCGGTCTTCAGCCCGGCGAGGTACGAGTGTACTTTTTCCCCTTCGGTCAGATCGGGAATGCGGTTATAAAATTCCTCCATCTGCTGCGTGTACTGCGCTACACTCCCGAACTGTCGGTGTCGATGAATTTTTTCCCGGACAAGGAAACTCGAATTTATCGGCTCGAAATGTTTCAGCAGGTCGGCGCGGAACTGCTGCCACGTGGCTTCACCGTGGATGAAGGTACTGTTGCCGCCAATCCACTGGAGTGCCGGCCCTCGCATCAGTGTCGCCGCGAGTCGTACACGTTGACCGTCCCAGACTGGCGAGCTCCATCCGACGGCTGCGAAGTAGATCTCCATCCCGGCGATCCATCTGCGGGCGTCGGAGTTTCGATCGCTCGGATCGAACGGCTCAGGTGGGCATGGTTTCGGAGCCTCGAGAAACTGCTGCGACTGCTACGTCGTCGCCGTTGTCGTCTCGTGCTGCGCTCCGGCGAGTCGAGTCACTCGCTCGAACTCGTTTCGCCACGCTTCGCGATCCGCTCGCATTTCCTCCTGAAGGGCTGCGATGCGCGCGAAGAGCTGCTGGGTAACCTCGGCGTTGTCGAAGGTTGCCATCCTGTTCAAAACACGCACGGAGGGGGTAATTCGAAAATCGCGGAGCTGGTGCTTACCAGAATAGGCGTCGAATTGGTCGTCCCCGGCGGTTTTTCGAGGCAGGATCCCCGCTGCTGCTGCTTAGCTGAGCGCGGTCGAGTGAGAAAAGCTCTGATTACCAAGTGTCACAGGATCGAATGTGTCGAGGAAAGGTTGCACTATCGATCAGTACAAGGTGCTTTTATACTTCCAGAGTACATCAGGTAATCAGGTTTATCTTATCCTAAGGGAATAGACCCTTCTAGAAGATAGAATCACCCTGCGTATAGCCACGCGAGGCTATTGGCTTTAAGGGATTACGGCAGGATTACGCCAGATAGCGCACCAGTACATCCCAAGCCTGGTCGGTGATATAATTATAATAGCAGGATAAACCAAAGGTTAATGGAAAATGGAGAATAGGAAACCAAATGAGATGAGATAAAGAGAAATGAACGAGGAAGGAAATAAGATAAGGGACAAGAGGTGTAACGGGGTCGTACTCTCACAGAGGAGGTGGGACGGAGTACTGAATCACATTCTCATTAATAGCAGTCGAATACATAGAAGGGGCGAGGGTTCCAGCCTACTAACCATGCCAACAAAACCAGAGGAGGGGAAAGGAGTCACACTACCTGTGGCTGAGGGCGCGGGAGACACGCCCGAGAGGTGAGCTGTGGAAGCGGCGGTGCCGGCGGTCCAAGCGGGGTAGGGCTGCTGGGGGGGAGCCATAGGGGGAGGTGCAAGGGGGAGCTGCGACTGGAGGTCAAGCTGCAGCTTGGAGAAGAGGTGCTGCTGCCCCTGCTGCTGCTGCTGAAACGGCTGCGGCAGGATCTACTGCAGAGTCTGCTGCTGCTGCTGTTGCTGAGAGACGGCGTGGTGGGCCAAGGGGGAGGAGACGGGCTGGAAGAGAGGGGAGGTACGAACCTCTGGAGGAGTGGGGCGAGGGGAGAGGGAGGACCAGCGGGGGGGGGTGGCCGGTGTTGCCGCGGGCAAACCACTCATCACTGAGCGCTTTGAAGTAAGAATCAGTGGCATGAGTGGTCTGGCCGCAGCGCTGACCCCGCGTGGGGCCATAGCGAGGGAGATACCGATAAGGAGGAAAGGCGGCTGCTGCACCCCGTCCTGCGCCATTGCCACCACGACCCGCACCACCACCACGACCAGCGCCACGCCCACCCCCACGCCCTCCCCTGGTGTTGCGCTGCTGAGCAACAGTGGCAGTTGAGGAGGAATGGCGCAAGAGGTCGGCCTTGGTGGTGATAATCCACTGGGCGATTTAAGGCGGGGTGATGCGCTTGTCGATCAGCTGCATGTAGGCGATCTTGTGGGTGTCGAAGGCAGGAGTCAAGCCTTCAAGAAGGTGGCAGCAGAGCACTGGGTCCGGGTACGGCACGCCAAGAGCCGCCAGGCGCCGAGCGAGGTCGAGGACGCGACGCGTGAAGGCAGCTGCGCCGGTGGTAGAGTCCATGGTGAGGCTCTGGAACTCCTTGATGAGGGAGTAGAGGGTCGCGACGTCCTGCCAATCATAGAGATCGGTGAGGAGCCGCCAGAGGTGGGAGGAGGAGGTGGGAGCAAGCTCGCGCTTGAGGGTGGGAGGAATGGTGGCGAGGAGGATGGTGAGCGCGCGCCGGTCAGCGACACGCCAGGCGGCGAGGTCAGTGATGTATGCGCGTTTGCGCCTGACATACTCCGCGAGCGCCGCCTAATACGTGTTGTAGGCAGTGGCGGCGTCATGCTCGGCGCGGGAAGCCTCGTAGAGCAGCTGCTGGCAGACGTGGTCGGTGAGGCCGGCACGGTAGGTGCAGATGGCGGTCTCGGAGCTCTGAGGGTCGTTGACGTCAAGAGCGAAGGTTGGAGGATCGCTGGGGTTGACGGGAGCATCGCCAGGAGGAGGTGGTGCAGGGCCCGCGGGAGCATCTGGCTGGGCAAGCTGAAGACCGTGCTTTTCGAGATGGACAACGGCTTTCAGGTTGTAGCCGTTGACTGTCACCGAGGAGAGAAGCACCGTGACGATTTGGACATAGGAATGCCAATTCACCGTGGTGTTGTCGGGCAGCAGCTCAAGAGCGTCGACGGAGGTAAGGTTCACCGAGGAATCGGACGCCATTGAGGAGGAGGAGGGGAAGGAAGGGGGGGAGGAGGAAAAGGAGGAGGAAAAGGAAAGGAGGAGGAGAAGGGGGAGGGAGGAGAAGGATAGGTGCGCGGAGCGCAGCTCTTAAGTCGCCGAAATGGCGCGACGAACGGGTGCACGCGACGGCGGAATCGACGACGGGCAGGCGCACGCGGCGGAGAAATCGACCGACGGGCGTGCGCGTGTGGCGGAAGGAAGGCGACGGGCGCGGAGAGTACGGGCGCGACGGGAGGATTTGTCGACGGGCGTGCGCGGGAGCCGTGACGGACGGGCGCGCGGAGAGCGCGACGGACGGGTGTGCGCAAACGCGGAGGGCGCGCGACGGGAGGGAGAGCGGGCCGCGCAACGGAGGATGCGACGGGCAGAAGCGCGTTGTCAGGCGCGACGGGAGGCACACAACGGAAGGGAGAGCGGGCGGGGCAAAAGGCGCGCGACGGGAGGAAGAGCGGACGCGACGGAATAGTGCGGCGGGAGAGGGCGCACGGGGGGCACGGGAAGTAGCCTAAGGAAGGGCTAGGCTTCGAAGACGAGGAGGGACGGCATAGGGCCGTGCTAGTTAGGATCGACTAGAGGTGGCGTGAGCCATTGTGGCTCTGATTACCATGAAGAAACTAGCTTAGAAGAGAAAAGATTGAATTGAGTAGGGAGCCAAGAGGCTCTTTTGTACAAAACAAGGAGCAAGGAAGAGTTGGAAGGGAAGCTCTCCTATTGGCCATAATGTGGACCAATGGGAGAGGTTGCTTGTAGGGCAAGCAACCACAAAGTGTGGTGCTCTCCAATTGGCCACAATGTGGACCAATGAGAGAGATTACTTGGAAGGCAAGCAACCACAAATTGTGGTGCTTGGTGATTGGTTGGTTCCTAGGACCAAGGACCATTTGGTTGGAATAGTGCCAACCAAATGTCTAGGACAAAATCCAATCTTGAAAAAACCCAAATGTGGGGTTGGTCAACCCAACCAACAACCCCCCAATAATTATAATGACTACACCTCCTAATCTAGGCATGCATGTTGTATAGATATATATTTTACAACACAAGCGCACCTGATGAGCGTGGGGAAGTGCACGAGCAGCGACTTGGCGGGCAGGCTGCTGGGGTCGGCGCTCTTGAAGGCAAAGCGCAGATCGAACACTGCCCTGGTAAGGGCAGTGGAGGGGGCACGCAGGGCATGGCAGCACGCAAGGCGTGGCAGCACGCAGGGCATGGCACGGGGAAGAAGAGGGGCGGCAGACAGGGGCGTAAAAAAGGAGTGGGGGGAGAGTAGTGAGAAGGACGAAAGGGCGTTGGGTTCTCACTTTCTGTCCTCAAATGGCGTTGGCTTCTCACTTGCTGTCCTCAAAGGGCGTTGGGTTCTCACTTGCTGTCCTCAAAGGGCGTTGGCTTCTCACTTGCTGTCCTCAAAGGGCGTTGGCTTCTCACTTGCTGTCCTCAAAGGGCGTTGGCTTCTAACTTGCTGTCCTCAAAGGGCGTTGGGTTCTCACTTGCTGTCGTCAAAGGGCGTTGGCTTCTCACTTGCTGTCCTCAAAGGGCGTTGGCTTCTAACTTGCTGTCCTCAAAGGGCGTTGGGTTCTCACTTGCTGTCGTCAAAGGGCGTTGGCTTCTCACTTGCTGTCCTCAAAGGGCGTTGGCTTCTCACTTGCTGTCCTCAAAGGGCGTTGGGTTCTCACTTGCTGTCCTCAAAGGGCGTTGGCTTCTCACTTGCTATCCACAAAGGGCGTTGGCTTCTCACTTGCTGTCCTCAAAGGGCGTTGGCTTCTCACTTGCTGTCCTCAAAGGGCGTTGGGTTCTCACTTGCTGTCGTTAAAGGGCGTTGACTTCTCACTTGCTGTCCTCAAAGGGCGTTGGGTTCTCAAACACAATCGAGTAGAGTGACGAGCGAATCACCGGCCGTGTGGCGCCTGCCCCTCCTGACCCCACTGCTGCCTTGGCAGCGTCGATGGCCCGCTGCTGCTTGTACCTGGCGGGGGAAGGCGGGCACGGCAGGGGCATGAGAGAGATGTATGGAGTGAGAAGAGCATGAGGATGGATGGTGTGCATGCTCTGCCATGCCTGACCTCTGCACAAAGTAGCTCATTCATGTAGAGAAAAATTAATTCTCAACTGAGTTGCCTCACAAGCCCTACCAGAGTGGGGAGCACCAGAGAGTGGGGAGCACCTATGTTGGAATATCGCGTATTGCATATTATACGCCAGCGTATATACGCTTGCGTATATACGCAAAACACATGGGTTTGGGGGTCCAATACGGCCGGAATACGCATGCCCGGGCAGGCTTAAAAAATGCCCGGGCAGGGGAAAAAAACCAGCGGGCAGCAAGGAAGCCAGGATGGGGGCGGCTAGGCTAGGGTTTCTGAAAACGCGACTCTCAAATGGGAGGCGTTTTCTGGGGGGTCGAATTTTGACCACCCAACTATCCCCCTTTCACCACACTCAAGCCTCCCCCCCCCTCTACAACGTCAAATGGGCTTCCAACCAACTCCCTCCCGTCTACAAACTCCAACCTTTCCTCACAAATGCTCCACTCTCCCCCATCACCTCCCTCCCGTTTTGCAAGAAGACCTAACTCGCGCAATCTCCGCCACCTAGCTAAGCACACCACCGCCTCCAAGCCTAGAACCCACTTTTTTACTGCTGAAGCATTGCTTCACATGTGAGATTTGGACGGACATGGGGAACGACAAACACGGATGGCTTTCAAACACCTACAGAGCAGGCTGGGGTAGGGGCGAAAAAGCATGGGCGAAAAAAATCGTCGCGTATTCGCGGGAAAAAAAAAGTATGTCAATTTTTCTTCGCCAGGCAGCCCGGGTTTGTGTATCGCGTATCCCAAGCGTATCAGCGCAATACGCAAAGCCTACAGAGCGTATATTCCAACATAGGGGAAGAGAGGGAGTGAGGAGCACCAGAGAGTTGGGAGCACCAGAGGGTGGGGAGCACCAGAGGGTGGAGGAGCACCAGAGGGTGGAGGAGCACCAGACCAGAGGGTGGAGGAGCACCAGAGGGTGGAGGAGCACCAGAGGGTGGAGGAGCACCAGAGGGTGGAGGAGCACCAGAGGGTGGAGGAGCACCAGAGGGTGGAGGAGTCGGGCAGGAGGCCGAAGAATATTCCCCCGGGCTGCAGGAGGGCCGCCACGTTGGAGAGGAACTGAGAGGCCATGGGCTGCGACGAGAACCAGTCCTGGCGGGTGGATGGTGCCCGCCGCTCGCACGCACGCATGGGCGGGAGCATGAGAAAGAACAATGGGATATGCGAGAGGAAAGGGGGGGTGGGGGGGGTCACACGGTTTAGACGCTACCGACATGAATGGCTTCAGCCTCGCATCTCAGCGCATCCATCTCTCACCTATGTGCACTGGGGGGGGGGCACACCTAGCTGCACTGGGGGTAGGGATGTAAAAAAATAGTCCGAGTTCGTACTTACACTCGATATTCGGAAGTATTCGATTTGCGAGAATTTGACAAATTCGAATATTTCAACGAACGGATATTTGGAAGTCGTTTGAGTAATCGAATGTGCCTATATATGGTGCGTTACCATTGAATGTGCTTCAACGTGAATAAAGACAGCATAGAAAACATTGAAGGATGCACGAATGATGGAGGAGAACGCAGTGTGGAGGCAGCAAGAGGTGCTGGCGACAGGGGGAGGGGGGTGCTTTGCTTACCACGCTTGGTAGAACCCAATGGCCTCATGGACGCGGACAAAGACAGGAAGTGCCGGATTCGAATCTACTCGGATTCGAACCATATTCGGAGCTATTCGATTCGTCACAGGACAAGCGTTTGTCCGAATATGAATGCAACTAGATATTCGATTTGTTTTTCCCTCAAAAAGTATCTGTGTTTGTTTTAGAATTCGCTTCTATACCCTTACTGGCAGGGGGGGAACACGAAGATGCAATGGGGAGCACACGCACACACACACACACACACACCCACACACACACACACACACACCCACACACGCACACACACACACACACACACACACCCACACACGCACACACCCACACACACACACACCTGCACGCGCGGGCTGCAGCAGACAACGTTGAATGGCGCACTGCGACCCACCGACTCCAGGGAGAGGGGCGTCTTAGACACGACAGGGGGAAGCAGACACGGGGGGGTGTGAGGGGGAGAGAGAGGGGGAGGCGGGTGGGGGGGAAAGGGGGAGGCATAGAGGGGGAAAAAGCACATCATGAGTAGCACATCATGAGTAGCACATCACATCCATGCGCTGGATGGCGACAACTTGAGGCTGCAGACAACACACGACGTGCACACGCTACACACTACCACATGACGCATGGCATGCATCATCCAGCACACAGCACACAGCACAGGGCCAGCCAAGCGTACGAGCGAGGGGTCGGCGTAGTGGAAGGCAGCAGCGTACGGCATGCCGTGCGCCCGCCACTCCTCCGCCGCCTCCTCCAGCGACGACGGCGTCAGGTCTGGCGGCGGGCAGGGGTGCGGCGGAGAGCGCGTGGGCGGATGGAGGACGGAGGACGGAGGACGGAGGACGGAGGACGGAGGGGACAGACGGGGCGAGCGGGGAGACGAGAGGGCAGACGCAAAACAAGGGAAGTGGTGGAAGGGTTGGAAGGGGGAAGTGCGAAGAGGGGTTTTGGAGGAGCAAAGGAAGGATGGGATGGAGAGCGGGAGCCACACGCAGTGCGCGGCAGGCTCACCGACGCCAAGGTAGGAGGAGATGCGGGCATGCACCCAGAGCGCCGTGTCCTCACCGCGCCCGCAGAACATCTCGCACACCTGCGCGGCAGAGACGAGGGGCAGAGAGGCGTTGGGGCAAGTGTATGTTATAGCTGGATGCGTGAGCACAGGCAGCAATGAGGCTTGCAACCCAGCACGCGCCCAGACACCTGAGCACCTGGGCACCTGGGCACCTAGTCTTCTGGGCACAGCAGCACACACATGGCGTGGTCCACACAATCTCCCCTCCCTCTCTCATGCGCAACCGTCGCCGTCGGCCCTTCACGTCATCGCCATTGTTCTTCACCTTGACCCCTTCCTCCCCCTCCCGTCCCCCCTACCGCTCACTGTCCTCGGCGCGATCGCTCATCCGTGCCGCTGCCCGCCGCCCGTCATTCCCCTCCATTCCGCTACCTCGTATTCAATCCGCCGCCCCACCCACGGCCCCCTGCACCCCCCTGCCCGGCGGCCCTCACCGAGTCGTCGCGCGCGACGAGCTCCGCCAGCAGCACGCGCGCCGCCCACTGCTGCAGCGCCGCCACCTGCGAGCTCGCCGTCGCAGGGGCCATTGCGACGACCGACGACGCCGCTGCGACGATAAGCGAAGACTCGACGGACTACGGAGATTGCGCGGTGCTGGTGGGTTGGTTGCATCCAGCGGAGGCCGCAACGCCGTCGCTCCAAGGGGACCGTGCGCGACGGAACGCGGAGTTTGTCTCCAGAGTTTCCTCAGGACCTCTATATAACCCGGAACGCTCGTGCCTTACTATCTCGAATCCATTTCAGAACACAATCGCCTCGGCTTAGGTGCAGTGAGGTCTGAGAATGTAAGGATTTCACGAATCCTTACTGAGGCTCGCCACAGCGAGTACCGCGAACAGTGCACGTTCGCAGCCTCGGCCCTCAAGTCTCGCGTCAAACCACCCTCGCCGATCTAATCGGCCCCGAACCTGTTACCGAGGCGCTCCGAACCCAAATTGACCCCGGGTCAACTCCCACTATATAAGCCCTAGGTCCTCATTTGTATGGACATCTTGTAGTCACGCTCCCCTATAGAATGCGGCACTATACTTTCGATGATTCATAACAAAGAACCTCAGGTTGTAAATACACGACATAGTATACATTGCTAGGAGTATATTCCACCATGTAATCCAAGCCAGTCTTATTATAATTTGAACGTCACCCAAGTTGGGCGCACTGAGGTATGTTTCAGAACTTGTAGACTTGGTCCTTGGTATAACCCAGCGCCTTCAAAAGGCCATCCACCTGCACGTACCACGCAGTACAGGGATGGGAGGGACAATAAATGGGGCTCACGAATAAAGTTGAGAGGCAATGACTAATCACTTTCAGTGCCTCTTTCCTGTTATGTAATACGCGAAACAACCGTGCCCTTTCGTGTTGTTGCGCTGTGTGTGCTGGGGTGTGCCCATGTCTCTCACCTCCCCCTGCGACTTGTCCGGTGCCTTGCCCCCTGACACGTGGTGCATCATGCCGGGTGGCCCACACACCTGCAGCAGTGAACACAACACAGGGAAGGGTTGTGGAAAAGGCATGTGTGGCGACAGAGGCAAGACAGGCGGCCACAAAGGAGGTTCAGGGATTCCCTTCCGACCCCATCCACATACAGCATGTGAGGTGATGCAGTGCCATGTCACATCATGACATGCCATGTCCAAAGATGTGATGCAACGCCATGCTGTGCCATGCAACACCATGCTGTGCCATGCAACGCCATTCCGTGCCATGCAACGCCATGCCGTGCCATGCAACGCCATGCCGTGGCATGGGATGCAACACCACCGTCTTGGTGCCAGGTGGTGTGGTGGGATGCGGCATGATGTGGTGCGGCAGCATGGCGCCCCTCACCAGCACGAGCGAGTCATCTGAGGGCGGGGGCATGGCCTTGCGCAGCACGTCAGCCGTGATGAGCCCCACCCCGCCCTTCCACCCCGCCGCCGCCTCCGCCCTGTCCACCATGAAGTACACCTGCGGGCGAGGAGGGGGTCAGTGGGGGCCATGTGGGGGATGATTGTGTGGAGGCGAAGGCGAGGGGTGAATGAGAGCTGGACTGAGGGACGGGGAGGAGTGAGAGGCAGCTAGGGCAAAGAGCTATGGTGGAATGAGGGTGAAGGTGTGCGATCCAGACGGATGCGATGAGAGGGGGTGTGGAAGGGAAGTGCAGCACCAACGCGAGAGAAAGGAGTGAGTGTGGGGCGAGAGGGCCATGTGGAGGGCGAGGGGGCCGTGTGGAGGGTGGTGAGTGCGGGGCGAGAGAGTGGTGTGGAGCGCAGCATGCCTTGAAGTTGGGGTGCGAGGCGGCGAGGGCTCGCAGCTGGTCAGCGAGAAGGATGTCGGAGGGGGAGGTGTTGGCGAACACCAGAGACACCTGCGAGGGCGGGGGGGAGAGGGGGGCGAGAGAGTGGTGGGTGTGTGAGACGAGCCAAGTGTGGGTGAGAGTCATTCATTGAGGTGACGGCAGCTGGTAGTCTGCATGAGTGCTAGCAGGTGGCAACACAGCGAGAGCAAACATGGAGGGATGGACCTGCCACAGCGAGGCATGACTGGCGCCCCTGCTGACCACAGCGTCTTCTGGCCTCACTCAAACGGTGCTGAATAGAGCAATGACAGCGAGTGTTGAAGACCCCAACCGATGCATGTGAACTCCCTCCGTGAATTTTAAACAGAGTTTGATATCCACGCACCTCCATGCACCTCCATGCACCTCCATGCACCTCCATGCACCTCCATGCACCTCTCTCCGCCTCACTCCCCCTAATCTCCCCCTCTCAACCACCTGTGAAGCCTGTGGCACCTGCGTGTGGTCGGCAGGGTTGGAGAGGATGGCGTCGATGACCTGCAGCATGGGCGTGATGCCCGAGCCGCCCGCCACCTGCGGGGGGGAGGGGGGCGAAGAGAGGGGCGCAGGGGGCAGCGAGCGGCGGCAGGGGGGGATGAAAAAGGGAAGGTGGAGGGTTGGGGAGCACGGATGGCAGGGGCGGAGGCAGAAGGGGTGTGGAGAGAGCAGTGGGTGCAAGAGGATAGCGGAACACAACACCAAAGAAAGCAGGCTTCTTTGGCGGGCAAGAGAGATGTCTCACCACGCCCTACCATGTCATCTCTCACCAAGCCACGTGTCTCACTCACCACAGTGTGTGCCTTCCCATGTCCCACATCCCACCATGCCTCACATCCCACCATGCCCATCCCACCATGCCCCATCCCACCATGCCAATGCTGCGCTTCATGTTGGGCTGGTAGGGCAGCTTGGGGATGGGGCTGGGGGGAGAGCGAGGGCAGGCGGGGAAGGCAAACAGGGAGCAACCGACAGAAACTGAATGAATCGGTGGGGGAGCGCAGGCGGAGCGAGGGCGTGTCTAAAGACTTGCCCATGGGCAGTTTGGGAAATCAGGGGAGAGAACAAGAGGTCCCATGGACGGACCGTGGAGGAGGCCTGGTACACATGCATTCAGGTATGAATCATCCCCCTCCCTCTCCCCTGTCCCTGCCGGACTCTCTTATAACTAACCGTAAACACAGATGGCGAATGCATAAGCCCCTTCAAAATTAGCACGTTACCCCTTCGATTGGAGAAAAATACCCCTTCATTTCAAGCACAGGTGGCCTCACCACTTCATTTCAAGCACAGGTGGCCTCACCCCTTCATTTCAAGTACAGCTGGGCTCATCCCTTCATTTCAAGCACAGCTGGCCTCACCCCTTCATTTCAAGTACAGGTGGCCTCACCCCTTTGTTTCAAGCACAGGTGGCCTCACCCTTTCATTTCAAGCACAGGTGGCCTCACCCCTTCATTTCAAGCACAGCTGGCCTCATCCCTTCATTTCAAGCACAGATTGTTAGAAATAGATTGCAAATCCTTCTTTTGTATTTGTACTTTTATATCCTAGACTAAGAATGTTTTTGTGGGTTGAGGTGTACTCACAGAATCACAACCTCACCCAATTATGATTCCCCCAATCTCCAATTACCCAATTGGAGATTCCGGAGATCCCAATGAGGATTTCCTCCGATTCCTTCTTCATCCATTCTTTCTCATCTTGCCATGTACTTATAGAGCCTTGGGCTCTTTACCTAATTAATTCTTTCAGCTCTTTTTCTTACATAGTACCAGAGCGACCTATCCGCACACGCGGATCAAGGTCCTATTCTTAACGTGCCCGCGCCACGTGCACAATATCGTCGCGACATACGTATCGAGTCGTCGGAATTTTTCGACTTGCTCCACTCTGCGGCGCACTTCTCATCGTCGATCGCTTTCGCACTCGACCTCGTTGAAATTCTCAACTCGAAAGCTTTCACAGTTCTCATCGTCGATTTCCTCCTCATTTTTCCTTGGTCGAATCTCAATTTCGACCTTCTCTAAACCCTCGCACCCTGCCAGAATAGGCGAACTCCCCTCGCGGAATCGCCTCCACGAACGTCTCGCGTCAAGCAAGAGCAAATACACGGGTTGAAGCGGAGCGGAGCTGGTTGCGGAGCTGGTTGAGGAGCTGGTTGCGGAGCTGTGTACCAGCGGGACAGGGCCTGGAGGTGTGTGGGGGGGTGTGTGGGTCCAGAGTTAGACATAGTCTTAGATTCAGTTCAAAGACGGCGTTTTAACGAGTCTCCGCCGACGCCATTTCCTTCTTAGCGGCATTTCGACGAAGCTACCAGAGTGATTTTCAGCAATTCTCTTCGACCAATTTCGAGAATTGCAGCGCTGCGCACCGAAGTTCCTATCGGTGACTAAAGAGCGTTGCTTCGCGCAAAATCAAGCGGCAATGGCTTACTCAACCACTTCACTTGCCAACCCGGTCCCGCTCTTTCATCTCGAGCCGGACGATACATGCTCCAACTACAAGGCTTGGCGCTATGGTGTCGACAAGCACCTCCTCTGTTGCGAGGTGAAAGGGCTCGAGCTCACCGACATCCTTTTTGACGTCGGTGACGGCAAAGAGCCTCCTAAACCCGAGAGGTCCGCCGATCCAGCTAATGCCGCCGCCAAAGCAGTTTATGTTGCTGCACTGCTCAAGTACAAGAATTGGGAGAAGGCCGATGGTGCGGTCATTAGTGTCTTCATGGGCACCACTCCTCCCGAACTCGTCGAAACCTACCGCAACTACCCGTCTGCCAACGTCATTTGGCTCTTCCTCGAAGACCGCTTCCTGAACAAGACTGCAATGGGAGCTGCTATACTTATCCTCAGCATGTTCCAAGTGCAGCTCGAGGACTCGCTGGGCATGGCAGACTATGTCACCAAGGTGTAATCCATTCATGGTGAACTCAAACAATTGGGGATAGTCTTCGCCGAGCAAGCCCCTGCAGCTGCTCTCCAAGTCAGCCTCACACCGGCATATGAAGTCACGCGCAAGATGCTCTTGGGCCTTGCTCCTTCGGACCTCACATTTGTCAAGGTCTCATCTGCTCTCCTATCTGCCGAAAAGGACAACAGCGCTCAAGCCAAGGCGAATGCAATCCGCGCTCCCGTGCCTCAGGCCTATGCCGTTGCGGCACCATTCCAGCGCAACCGGTTTCGCCCGTGTCCCTACGTCATCAAGCACGGCACTCGTGCCGGCCAGGTGTCTGACGGCACCAACCACGCCCCCAAGAAGAAGGATGACGAGTGGTATGTCGTCAATGGGACTGCCTCGAAGCCGCCAAGCTGGATGGTGAATCCTACTCCTCGCAAGGTCAACCAAGTCGAAGTGAAGGAATCCGTGAAGGCAGCTGTAACTCCCCCTGCTGATGTGCACCTTAACAGGTTGTTCTCTGGCACTGCCATGATCAATGAGACGATTTCGTAATGTCCCGGCTCACAAAGCACCCCAGCCACAATAGAGTTCACCTCAACAGTAGGGCCACCCACACAGTTCTCAGGGAAGAACACTCCTTCAAGCCATACAAGATACCAATTTCTCTACTAAGAGCAGACTTCAGTTTCACAACACACGCCAAAGGCTCTTCCACAGTTTCGTGTCCAGCTTTCCCTTCGGACAGTGTCACCGGCATGTGTGTTCCCACACTACGCCACAATCTCGTGGCCCAACACGAGCTCCAACGGGCAGACGTCACCACGATCTTCCCAGCACACTCAGATCACTGTGACCTCCTCGACCTGAAGTCCAACAAGCTCCTAGCACGCTTCACACTCAACAGCAGCAAGCTCTACACGCTGCGTTCACCTGCACCTCTCGCTGCCCTCTCCCAAGCGCAACCCGCCAACACCACTCCGTGTTCCTGTTGCAGCTTCGTCAATTCAACCATCCTCTACCACCATCGCTTGGGTCACCCCAACTTCTGTCGCTTGCTGACATCGCTTCCAAGAAACTTCTTCTTGGCCTCCCGTTAACGCTTCCTCCACCAACAGACTCACCTGCACCCACTTGCCTGGACTGCACCAAGAGCAAGCTTAAGCAGCAGCCGCACCCTTCCTCCCCATCCGTCGCAGCTGCTCTGCTGGACCTAGTGCACATGGATGTATGGTGCCCCCGAGACGGTCATCGGTACTTTCTTACATAAATCGATGACCACTCGCGGTATATTTTTGTGCACCTCCTGCATACCAAGGCAGAGGCACCTGACATCATCATGGCATGGGTGCGCCATGCTCAAGTCGCGTTCGGCACTCCTCTGAAGTGCCTCCATTCTAATGGCGGGGGTGAATTTCGCAATGGCAAACTCGATAACCTTTGCGCGGCCCATGGGATTCGGCAAACCTTCACGCTCCCCGAAAGCCCGCAGCAGAACGGCATTGCAGAGAGCCGCAACCACACCTTGGTTCAGATCGCTCGTTGCCTCGTCAGTCACGCCAACGCACCACAGCCATTTTGGGGATACGCCCTCTTCCATGCAGCTTTCCTCTACAATCTTTATCCGCATCCTCACCGGCCCGACATAGGCTTGAGCAACGGGTCGGGTCGGGTCGGGTAACCCGACCCGAACCCGACTTTTTGACGGGTCGGGTCAGGTTTCCCGTCGGAAGAACCCGACCCGTCGGGTTTGATTTTTACCCGTCGGGTCGGGTCAACCCGAACCCGACATGGACGGGTTTGGGTGAACCCGACATGTCGGGTTGACCCGACCCGACTTCGGTTATACATCGTCGGGTTGACCCGACCCAACCCGACCCGAAGTCGGGCCGCGCCTCGACCCGACGCAATCTGGGCGACCTGAGTTGCGCAGATCTGGAAAGTCTGACGGTTTGGTCGAATTTTCGACCAAATGGTCCATTTTCCAGATCCTACTTAGGCTTCCTCCCATTTTTACCCTCCATCCAGCTCATTCCTAACACTAATCTACTCCCCACCATGCTTATTGGTATAGCTTAGGGTCTAAACAGACCCAGATCGATTTCTATTGGATCGACTCAACCAACAAAGCTCGTCGACACCACCACCAACCCAACCAATTTTCGCCAACACCCCCAACCCAACCAATTTTCGCCCAACGCCCAACCAAACCAACTTTTCGCCAACACCCCCAACCCAACCAATTTTCGCCCAACGCCCAACCAAACCAACTTTTCGCCAACACCCCCAACCCAACCAATTTTCGCCAACACCCCCAAACCAAACAATTTTCGCCAACACGCCCAAACCACCCGAATTTTCGCCAACACCCGCAACCAAACCAAAAGCTCGCCAACACCCCCAAGCCAACCAATCTTTCGCCACGCCCCCAAACCAACGAAAAAATCGTCAACACCCATTCATTCCGTCACTGGTTTTCGTCAACATCCTCCAACCTAACCAATACTTCGCCAGCGCCCAAAACCACTTGTCGAGGTTGCGGGGGGATGAGGTGGGTGGGCTAGGAGACACGAGGAGGACTACTGGATCTTGAAATTACGAAATCCAGCTGTTCCCCCCTGGGAAAAAAATAGCTTCTAGTTAGGTCGGGTCAAGTCGGGTCGGGTCGGGTCGCATCAACCCGACCCGACTGCGGGTAGGAGATGACCCGACCAGCTATGGTCGGGTCGGGTCGGCAAAATCCTAAGATCGACCCGACCTGACCCGACCCGACCCGACCCGAACCCGACCTCGGGTTAGGCAAAGTCGGGTCGGGTCGGGTCGGGTCGGGTTAATGCTCAAGCCTAGCCCGACACCACACCAACCACTCTCTGGTTTCGGGCCACGTCTTCCGCCCGCTCTCTACGCGTCTGGGGGTGTACCGCGTATGTATTGCTCAGTCCCCACACGCGCAGGAAGCAAGGTGGCAAGCTTGGTCCCAAAACCCAGGCCTGCATGTTCTTGGGGCACAACTCCGACTTCCCCGACTACTTATTCCTCAACCCCATCACCAGACAGCTGATTCGCAGTCGTGATGTCAGCTTCGATGAGACACGCCCCTTCAACTCTCCGACCACAGGCGAGCCTCCTCCACCTCCCCCGAAGCTTGTATGGGCAGACTTCGATGCCTCACCTCCGGCCGCTGCCCCTTCTCCGGGGCCTTCTCTGTCCGGCGTGTCACACCCGGCCTCCCCGATATCCTCCCTGAGGCATCTCCTCCTGCTCCGCCTTTCTCGCGCGTCGAGCCTGGCTCACCAGTCTCCTACCAGAGGCGCCTAGTCTCTCCAGTCCCACCGCAGCCGCTTTCGTCTCCGGTCTCTAATCGCACTCGTTCCAAGGAACCGGCTCCGGTTCTCGCCTAGGGACCAGCCGCCCTCTCCATTCGGTGTTCAGTCACCCCGCCTCTTCCTGCCGGGGGTGATGTCCCCTCTATCCGTATTTCCCCCCGTGCACTTCTGGAGGACAGGCATGAGGAGCTGTTTGACCTTCACGCGGTCTGCCAATTTCTCTCTCACATCTTCCCGGACATTACTGACTGCTCTTCTCTCAACTTCACCGAGAACCTGACCATTCCGACTCTTCGCACAAAAAAGAAAGCTCTCTCAAGGCTTTATAAGGAAGAATAGAATGCAGCAATGGATATGGAGAACGAGGCGTTCATTCGCAACAACAGCTTTGACGATGTCGTTCCCCCTTCCGCTGTCAACATCGTCGGCGGAAAATGGACCTTCCGAGTCAAACAACTCCCAGGCGAAGCTCCACTGCTCAAGGCACGATACGTGGCGAAGGGTTTCACCCAGAAGGAGTATCTCGACTTCTTCGAAACATTCTCGCCCACGGCCAAGCTCCCGACTGTGCGCGCTCTTCTTGATATAGCCGCTCGCGGCAACTTCGAGATCAAGTCTTTGGACGCCTCCTCCGCCTTTCTCCAAGGCCAGATCAAGGAGGATGTTCACATGGAACGCCCATTGGGGTTTCCTGGCACTTACCCTGCCAACACAGTGTGGAAGCTGAAGCGCCCAGTGTATGGCCTCATGCAGGCTCCTCGTGAGTGGCACAACAAGCTCTCATCGCACTTGAATTCCATCCCTCCGCCTCAGATTCCAGTCTCTTCATTCGTCACTCCTCCGAGCCCTTCTATATCCTCGTCTACGTCGACGACTTCATTCTAGTTGCCAGAGATTCAGTCGAGATGGCAGCTGTCCAGTCCGCTCTTAGCTCCGCCCTTCTCATGAAAGATCTTGGTGACCTCAAAAACTACCTGGGGATGAAGATCACTCGTGACCACCAGGCTTGCCAATCCCGCTCTCCCAGAAGTCCTACATCAACAACCTTCTCAAGCGTTTGGACATGGACTCCAGTAACTCTGTCTCCACTCCACTCCCAATACAGCATCAGCTCACGGTCCCTGCGATTCCTTCTCCAGACGCCTGCAAGGACCCGTACCCAGAGCTAGTCGGTTCACTCATGTATGTCATGATGTGCACTCGACCAAACTTGGCTTACCCGGTTAATGTCATCTCTCAGTATGTCTCCCCCGGACGCTAGACTGCCTCCCATTGGTCTGCAGCTAAGGAGGTCCTCCGATATCTACAAGCCACCAAGTCTCACATCCTCACTCTCGGTGGTACCTCTCCAGTCAAGCTCGAGGGATACACAAACTCTTCAAGAGTGTTGCTGGCGCTCCACTCGATCCTCATCAGCTGGCGCTCCACTCGATCCTCTGCACTCTCCCTGTGATCCTGCGAGGCCGAGCTTTACGCAGGCACAATGGCTGCTCAAAAGGCACGCTGGCTCTCCTTTCTCCTCGCTGAGTTAGGCTATCCCCAGCAGTCGCCCACCCTGTGGTGTGACAACCAGAGCGCCATTCACCTCACCAAGGATCCTGTGTTCCACTCTCGCACCAAGCACATCGAACTTCGTCATTTCTTCATCCGAGATCTTGTTTAGAGTGACCAGCTGACGGTACAGTACATCGCCTCAGATTGCCACCTCGCTGACCAAGTCTCTCGGCAAAGCTGGCCACCATCGCTTTCTCCGTTCCATGGGGCTATGTGCTCCTTGACCGGGTTTGCAGTCTATGGGGGTGTGTTAGAAATAGATTGCAAATCCTCTTTTGTATTTGTACTTTTATATCCTAGTTTAGACTAAGAAGGTTCTAGTGGGACAGCGTGTACTCACAAAATCCCAACCTCACCCAATTGCGACCCCCCCAATCCCTAATTACTCAATTGGAGATTCAGGAGATCCCAATGAGGATTCCTTCCGAATCCCTCTTCATCCATTCTCTCTCACCTTGCCATGTACTTGTAGAGCGTTGGACTCCTTATCTAATTAATCCTTTCAGCTCTATTTCTTACATAGGTGGCCTCACCCTTTCATTTCAAGCAGAGCTAGCCTCACCCCTTTATTTTAAGCACAGGTGGCCTCACCCCTTCATTTCAAGCACAGGTGGCCTCACCCCTTCATTTCAAGCGCATCGCCCGGCTTGAGGGAGAACATGTGCTGACTCATCTTGCCATCTGGGTACACCTGGGCGCAGGCACAAGTGAGACACAAAGGGGAACGAGGGAGAGCGAGAGGCAGAAGGGGGACGCGGAGGGGCAGGAGCATATACACGGGCGTCACATGGCAAGCACATGACACACATCTCACATTCCCTCTGCCATCTTTGCCCAACACCCCCACCTCTGTTGTCCACTTCAGACCAAACTCAACCTGGTTCTAAGCCCCGCGCCCACCTTCACGCGCGCCTCACCTTCACTCGCGCCCCTCCTTCACTCGCGCCTCACCTTCACTCGCGCCCCACCTTTACGAGCAGGTCGAAGTGGCCCGTGACGTCAGGCGGGGTAATGGGCGTGTACCTAATGTAGCATTGGGCAGGGGGGCAGCGGTGCCATGGCGTGATGGCGGGACGGTGTGATATGTGGTGCCATGACGTGCGAGGTGTGATCTGCACTGTGAGATGTCTGATGGCATGGTGGCATGGAGGCATGGTGGCATGGAGGCATGGAGGCATGGTGGCATGGAGGCATGGTGGCATGGAGGCATGGAGGCATGGTGGCATGGAGGCATGGTGGCATGGAGGCATGGTGGCAAAGGAATGCTAGAATAGTGTTTTCATTTTGTTACACTGATCTAGTTTATAGCCGAACTTCAGGACCCCTTCTTGGGGTTGGCGTGGACCCTCCAGGACTTCTCGGGTCGCGCATTTCCTACATAAACAGCTCGAATGCCTAGGATGTTCAGAAGATGCTGATGAAGGCTTTTTTAAGCCGAAACAAGTTCATCCTGGTTTTAATCAAACCTAGCCTCGCAACGCATTTCACCATCATGGACTGTGAGGAAAGTGAGGAAAAGGAGAGGTTTTGGGCTCTTGTGATGCAACCGAATAGCGGCACGAAATAGTGGGAAGGAGCGTGGAGAGGTGGCAGGTGGATGACTCAAGGGCACATTCCCAGCACTGTTTGTGGCTGCCGTGCGTCAGCGAGGCAGGGGCACCGGAATCGCTTGAGTCTGGGGTTTGTGATGCAGTGAGACCAACTCAGGGAGCAGAGAAGTGGAGGAAATGGAGAGGAGAGAGGAGAGAGGAGAGAGGAGAGAGGAGAGAGGAGAGAGGAGAGAGGAGAGAGGAGAGAGGAGAGAGGCAACGGGTGTGGAGAGGGGAGAGAGGCGTACGGTCGAATGACAACTTTGGGCTTGCCGTCCTCCCCTGGTGGGCCGATGGGCGCCCTGCCACGGGTGATGGGCGAGGCGGGATGGGAGAGGAGGTATGGGAGAGGAGGGATGGGAGAGGAGGGATGGGAGAGGAGGGATGGGAGAGGGAAGGACATGAGTATTCGAAGCGCCAAGAAATATAGAACGTTAAAAGGCAGCTCATGGCAAAGTTTTGCAACAGTAAGAGTGGGAACGGACAGGCCGGGCAACGGAACAGTTGCGGAACATGGCAGCGATGCGATGCTCCAAGGCAACGCCGCCAAGAGATCTAGGGTTCCTGAAACAACTCTGTAAAAGTGATCTACCGAGGCTTGAATCATCCGAATCACCTTGAAAAGAGGCATGTCTCCTTGTAACAAGGCGTGTCACATTGTAACGAGGCATGTCACCATGTACCGAGGCATGTCACCTTGGAACAAGGCATGTCACCTTGTAACGAGGCATGTCACCTTGTAACGAGGCATATCACCTTGTAACGAGGCATGTCACCTTGTAACGAGGCATGTCACCTTGTAACAAGGCATGTCACCTTGTAACAAGGCATGATGCCACTGTGAGGCCGAGCCGAGTGTCCGGCTCAATGGCAAAGCTGATGGGCGGGCAGACAGGCCGGGGGGGGTGCGGGCAGATAGGCAGGGGGGGGTGCGGGCAGATAGGCAGGGAGGGGTGCGGGCAGATAGGCAGGGGGGGGTGCGGGCAGACAGGCAGGGGGGGGTGCGGGCAGACAGGCAGGGGGGGGTGCGGGCAGATAGGCAGGGGGGGGTGCGGGCAGATAGGCAGGGGCGGGTGCGGGCAGATAGGCAGGGGGGGGTGCGGGCAGATAGGCAGGGAGGGGTGCGGGCAGATAGGCAGGGAGGGGTGCGGGCAGACAGGCCGGGGGGGGTGCGGGCAGACAGGCAGGGGGGGGTGCGGGCAGATAGGCAGGGGGGGGGGTGCAGGCAGATAGGAAGCGGGGGGTGCGGGCAGATAGGCAGGGGGGGGTGCGGGCAGATAGGCAGGGGGCGGGTGCGGGCAGATAGGCAGGGGGGGGGTGCGGGCAGATAGGCAGGGGGGGGTGCGGGCAGATAGGAAGCGGGGGGTGCGGGAAGATAGGCAGGGGGGGGTGCGGGCAGATAGGCAGGGAGGGGTGCGGGCAGAGAGGCAGGGGGGGGTGCGGGCAGATAGGCAGGGGGGGGTGCGGGCAGAGAGGCAGGGGGGGTGCGGGCAGATAGGCAGGGGGGGGTGCGGGCAGATAGGCAGGGGGGGTTGCGGGCAGATAGGCAGGGGGGGGTGCGGGCAGATAGGCAGGGAGGGTGCGGGCAGACAGGCAGGGGGGGGTGCGGGCAGATAGGCAGGGGGGGGGGGTGTGGGCAGATAGGAGGGGGGGTGCGGGCAGATAGGCAGGGGGGGGTGCGGGCAGATAGGCAGGGGGGGTGCGGGCAGATAGGCAGGGGGGGGTGCGGGCAGATAGGCAGGGGGGGTGCGGGCAGATAGGCAGGGGGGGTGCGGGCAGATAGGCAGGGGGGGGTGCGGGCAGATAGGCAGGGGGGGATGCGGGCAGATAGGCAGGGGGGGGTGCGAGCAGATAGGCAGGGGGGGGTGCGGGCAGATAGGCAAGGGGGGGGTGCGGCCAGATAGGCAGGGAGGGGTGCGGGCAGATAGGCAGGGGGGGGTGCGGGCAGATAGGCAGGGGGGGATGCGGGCAGATAGGCAGGGGGGGGTGCGGGCAGATAGGCAGGGGGGGGTGCGGGCAGATAGGCAGGGGGGGATGCGGGCAGATAGGCAGGGGGGGGTGCGAGCAGATAGGCAGGGGGGGGTGCGGGCAGATAGGCAGGGGGGGTGCGGGCAGACAGGCAGGGGGGGGTGCGGGCAGACAGGCAGGGGGGGGTGCGGGCAGATAGGCAGGGGGGGGGTGCAGGCAGATAGGAAGCGGGGGGTGCGGGCAGATAGGCAGGGGGGGGTGCGGGCAGATAGGCAGGGGCGGGTGCGGGCAGATAGGCAGGGGGGGTGCGGGCAGATAGGCAGGGGGGGGTGCGGGCAGATAGGCAGCGGGGGGTGCGGGCAGATAGCAGGGGGGGGTGCGGGCAGATAGGCCAGGGGGGGTGCGGGCAGATAGGCAGGGAGGGGTGCGGGCAGAGAGGCAGGGGGGGGTGCGGGCAGATAGGCAGGGGGGGGGTGCGGGCAGATAGGCAGGGGGGGTTGCGGGCAGATAGGCAGGGGGGGGTGCGGGCAGATAGGCAGGGAGGGTGCGGGCAGACAGGCAGGGGGGGGTGTGGGCAGACAGGCAGGGGGGGGTGCGGGCAGATAGGCAGGGGGGGGTGCGGGCAGATAGGCAGGGGGGGGTGCGGGCAGATAGGCAGGGGGGGTTGCGGCAGATAGGCAGGGGGGGGTGTGGGCAGATAGGCAGGGGGGGTGCGGGCAGATAGGCAGGGGGGGATGCGGGCAGATAGGCAGGGGGGGTGCGAGCAGATAGGCAGGGGGGGGCGGGCAGATAGGCAAGGGGGGGTGCGGCAGATAGGCAGGGAGGGGTGCGGGCAGATAGGCAGGGGGGGTGCGGGCAGATAGGCAGGGGGGATGCGGGCAGATAGGCAGGGGGGGGTGCGGGCAGATAGGCAGGGGGGGTGCGGGCAGATAGGCAGGGGGGATGCGGGCAGATAGGCAGGGGGGGTGCGAGCAGATAGGCAGGGGGGGTGCGGGCAGATAGGCAGGGGGGGTGCGGGCAGATAGGCAGGGGGGTGGGCGGGCAGATAGGCAGGGGGGGTGCGGGCAGATAGGCAGGGGGTGCGGGCAAGCAGAGAGAGGGGGGAGATGAGGGGGAGGAAGGATAGAGAGCCGGGGCGGTTGAGGGAGAAGAGGAAAACAAAGAGAATGGAACCAATATGGCACGATCAGTTTAAAACATCTTTTTGAAACGCATTTTGATAACTTTCTGCCATAAACACGGAAATGCATTGGTGCTACAGACCCCCACACACTCACAATCACAGACGCACACACACACATGCAGACACAACAGCATGTGCTCACACTCACCGGAAGATCTTGGTGTTGTGGCTGATGTCCCGCACCTGCTGCACCTGAACGCCACAAACTGCTGCGGCTTCAGCGCTGCTGTCACGTGGTGTGAGGGCGTGCCATGGTGTGAGGGCGTGCCATGGTGCGAGGGCGTGGCATGGGGCGGGGGCGTGGCATGGGCGGGGGCGTGGCATGGGCGGGGGCGTGGCATGGGGCGGGGGCGTGGCATGGGGCGGGGGCATGGCATGGGGCGGGGGCGTGGCATGGGCGGGGGCGTGGCATGGGGCGGGGGCGTGGCATGGGGCGGGGGCGTGGCATGGGGCGGGGGCGTGGCATGGGGCGGGGGCGTGGCATGGGGCGGGGGCTTGGCATGGGGCGGGGGCGTGGCATGGGGCGGGGGCGTGG